AGCGGTGTCTGTCGGAGATTCGACCATCCACTCTTATTGTTGCCTATTACACTCGATGTATAGGTAATCGTTTTATTCTTCCCGAGAATGACGATGATCATCTTTTATCTCCACCTGTATTTATTTCTATCATGTGATGAATTCAATAAGCGGAAAGACACGTTTCATCCACTTTTATGCCTTTTGCGATTTAAGTGCATTGACTATTTTTATACATTTTCTTTGAGGCACGGTGTAATAGATAAATCGATGGGTCATTCATTCCCTCGGTGGATTGTTTTGCTTAAGTTTACTACATGCACTAATTAATTTTGAAGCTTTGTTTTCCTTCTGCCATTTGCTTTTTTAGACTGAACCGCTTGTGCTGAGACCCCCTGTTGGATCAGAGGTCTACGGTCGACCTAGTTTGCAATTTCGTCCATTCTCCGGGATCGGTTCCGGCCCTGTTGTTCACAATCAACGTCGTCGTCGCCTGTTGTTAATTTATGTTCTCTGTGTGCTCATCACCTTGGCCATTGTGGCCGGATTGCTGTTCGCGATGTTTGTGCTGAATTTCGGCCCGTTCGCCACCCACACTGCACACGGTTTCGGTCCACGGTCAATGTGTCGTGTCTTCAGCCCACTGTTGCGAACCAGCTGGGTAGAAAGTCTGTCTGCCGATGACAATGTGTTGAATGTGACATTGACGGATATGCCTCGGTCGCATACCTATTGGATTTTGCATTTATGCACGGCGTTCCTGACGGTCATTCGTACGGAGGATCGTTGCTTCATTCGACCAATGCGAGATGAAATGGTTCAAGCATGTGCTCGAGGCTATTTGAAACTGGTTCATGTGAGTATGCCTGTGCCTAAAAGGAGAGCTTTTTGATAATCATTCCTAAAGACGAAAGCAAAATGTCTCAGATAGGTCATTTGTGTTTCGGTGGAAGACTTTGGAATCACTCTGGATTTCCCAAGTTTAGCCTTGTTCCACTGCGACCCTCGGAATCCGCCTCCCAGCAGCGAGCATCATGATTGTCATCACCTTTAACAACAATACCGACAACGGCCATATTGATCCTAAAACGACTCGTGCTTAATCCAATGCCGCTGATCGCTGTCGGCATTAATAGCAACACAGTCGATTTAGAGTTTGGTAGTTTGCGTGACGGAACAAATAGTGAGCTCCCGCCTTATCCCCTCGTTCTGGTGGTATGGGGAAGCACTGTTTTCGTTTCGATCTTCACCAGCTTCTTTATTCCAAGCCTTAGTGTCCAGGTATCTGTCGGTATGCAACTCTGAAACTAATTGCAAGGTTCGAATTCCCGTGGGTCCAATTGTATGAACATTTTTTTTACTTTGTAAGGACAGATTTGAAAGTCAATCCGTATCACCGGCATTGTAAATGAAGCTTTACAGGAACGGCGTATTGTTTTTTTTTTTTTTGAAATGGCCATGACCCCTCGGACAGGATGTTTTTAATTACTGATTTGTATTGATCTGTTTTCGTAGTCAAAAGGAATAACAGCTCCGCTCTATTATTTGGGACCGCAAAGAAAACTCCCTACTATTAGTGTCTTGCTTGAGTCATACCATTTACTATTCTCGGGAATCATCTCTTCCTGCTTTCCGTCCGTGTCCAACCGCAATGTTTTCCGGTTATCTCTGTCTGTCTATGCTTGTGTTAGGAGAGTTCGTCAGCATAATTGATTATTCCGACTGACATTGTTTGTTCGCGACTGCTTATTTGTTGCGGCATGCCACGACTTATTCACTGCTAACCTTCGATGAAGATATCCTCCTATCCACAACCCGGGACGCACCTGGTAGCATTCAGCTCTGCTTAACCCGAGGGTATTCAGGCCATATTTTGACCACTCTTGACTTCCTTGCACCCACAACCTGCCTCGGGAAGCAGCGCGCGCCGTGGCAACCTGTTTGGTGACGTTCAACACATGCCCCAACCAACGTAATCTATGGAGGTCGACCACTTGCCCCAGTGAACGACCGCGGTTGCCTAAAAGTTTGCGCCTGATCTCAGCATTGTTTGTCCGGTTTGCCTACTATACTTGTGCAATGCTACGTAGTTATTGGTGTTCCAACACCGACAGTCTATCTTTATCCTGTTTTCTCAATGGCCAAGTTTCTGCACTGTATGGCAGAACTGGCCGAACTGTCGCAGCATATACTCGACCTTTCACAGATAGCTGGATTTCGCGGCAGTTCCAGAGATGTATCAGGTGATCAAATGCCAACCGAGCCTTCTTTATGCGAGTTGACTCTTCATCCGTGATGCGTCAGTATGATCTGGGTGGGTTTCTAGGGTTACGGCTAATCACTGTTCTCTGGCATCTTGCGAAGTGCTCCCATACGACCGAGCGTCTCGAACAGTCTCTGCTTAGGAAACCTTGCTCATGGAGGAGGTGTTTTCCCAACAAAGTGAAGGGACGAAAAGCCGGCATTCCGCACTATAACTGGGTTGGTGGACCACTATTAGTTCACTTAGGGGAGTTGGCCAAAAACCCTGATTCCAAACCAACCGTACGAACCACACCCACACCTTTTCGATTGTGGCACTGGTCACCGGCTCGATTGAGTATTGAGGTGTATTGGACACCTTGGACGTTTGACCCCGTCCGAAAGGCGTATGATCCGATGAACTGGACACCGGCTCCTAAATGGATTGCGGTTTTCGCACACCGCCCCGCTGCCTTGCGGGTCAGACTTTGGCTAGCCAAAGGCTCTGGCTGTGGATTCCTCAAGAAAAGTCACCTGTCTTTGCCTGGGAAACCTGGCAGTATTCGGCCCACATGGAACGTTTTTCTTTTCCATGAAAATTGTTGTACCATTGTATGGGTAAATCGTGTGGGGATGCCGCGGATATAACCGAATATTGGGCGGCTGCTCGATGTCATCGTCGAAGTCGGAATGTATTCAACTTTCCTAGAACAGTATTCCTCCCAGGTTCTTACATTCCTTCGGATGTGGTCACTTTCGCCAATGCAAAATTGTATATTTGACACTCCGAGATGATTGCAATTTTCACAAAGATACAGGAGTGGTTACTTCTGATTAGGTTACTTTTGCCAATTCAAACTGGTGTGAATGATAGAAAAATGCCTATGCGTTTTGCTGTTCAGCATTACTAAGGTGAACTGCATTTTTATTTATTGTAAGCCCCGGTTTCTCAGTCGCTTTCATCATTTACGCTAATTTCGACACGCTTGCCTGTAATGTTCGTTTACGTGTCAACACTTTCTCCTCACAACTGGCAACAGGTTTAGACCAGTCTCAACGTGTATTGCGGTTGATCGTTTTGATACCTCTTTCCTAACTATTGAATCCGTGTTGATCTCCTACTACAATCGTGCTTCTCGTATCCAGTTTACTCTGTTTCTATTTGTACTTTTCCTTACTTCACCCTTGATTCATGTTCCTTTCTATCCATCTTATTATGTCACATGCCTGAGCCGACCAACGATTTTATTGATCGAACTGATTGTTTTTTTGTCAGTGACCCATACCACCTCATCTGTTTAGTTGACTAGGCCTTCCTATCATCGATCGTCCACTGTACCCCGATGCGAACACTTAACCACCTGCATGTACTTTCATGATTCTCACACCAACGTGACCGGTTGGTCGCAAGCATGAAAGAATTTATGTACACACACACACACACACACTACACTAGAAACCATTCATTGTCACCAGTCCTATTGTTCGTCCTGATGGGATCCTCAAAAATAATCCGGAAATCTTTTTCATTTTAAAGCGCGCTCCCATAAGCATGTCAGACTATTGTTGCATTTTACATCCCCAAACTCACCGTTAGAATCATCATCAGAATAACAACTTATCCAGACTTATAAACGTGGTTTGTTCTACCACTTTCACTGTTTTCTCCAATGCTGATAACTCTTCCAGTTGTCAGCATCTTACGTGTTACCCTTATTTTTCCTATCATCTGCGTTTCCCGGTTGAGACTTCATATATATTCGGACCAAAAGATTCTCTTCGCCTCTTCTAAAACGGCTCCGTTGTGATAAAAAAGACCTGTGCTACACCTATCGGTTTCAACCAAAATGGAAATACAGCGCCTAAATCGGATGCATATTGAAACTCGTGCGACGAAAACAAGAACTGCCGTGATATGTGATCTGTCTTGAAGCAGCTTTGTGGTTCACGCAATAGCACTTTCCCGCACACAGGATCTGAATTGTCAATGCACGAGTGTTTTTGCACTAAACTCAATAGCGTCTTCATTGACATCTACTGGAGGCAACCACTCTATCTCCTCGATAGGTGCTGAAAGCCCCTAAATCCGACAAAGCACGATTAATTATTTCCCGTCTTGTTGAAAATGTGTGCTGAAAAACTGGCTACACCTGTTTCCGGGCTCGGTTTGTGTATGTCATCTATAAGTATCCCTGATTGTTGGACAACTGCCCGGATAGCACCTATCTCACCACCGACCGATGGCTTACACACCAGTACCATTGGATGGATGGCCGTTGCATCTGTCGCTCTTGACCTTATTCAGTTGGCTTACAAACCTTTGTTTTTCACTTTAGATGTTGTTGCTCACGTCGTTCACTCCGTTTCATCCTCATTGGGAAATGGGTCTGACATCGTCTGTTTAATTTTCGTTGATTATTTCAATGCCTTGGACTCATTTGACCGCGCATTTTCATCCGACGTCTCTCGGATTGCGGCCTAGCACCTGATGTGTTGAATGTACTAAGCAATTAATTATCACCTAAGACCCTTTTTGTAGCGGTAAATCGTCCTGAGTTTTTCAGGATACTATTTCATCTCCGCTCCTTTTACCGCAGCACACAAACAACCGTCCCGTCCCACGCAACTTTATCACGATGGGGTAGTTGGTTGTCCCTCGAAAAATCTTGACAACTTCTGCTAACTTCAGGACTGACTAAACCAAATGTCTAGTTGCGCTGCGCCCCAATCTCTGGTGTTGATAAATCTGTGTGTGTGTGTGTGTGTGTGATTGTTAATGTGAATTTCGTACTGTAGTGTCATCCGAAGACAATAGTCCCGTGTTTGTCGTTCCGAATCCATTGTTTGCCGATGTATTGTTGATTACCTCATACTGAACGTTTAGTCACCTTCGCATTCCACATCCGATTGACAACTGTAATTCACTTCAAGCGGTGTACGTATGTGTAGATGTCTTGTTATTAGTTCCCAAACTTCGTCATGGGTGGTTTAAAATCATGGCATGCCGACTGTCCGAAACGTACCAGTTGCTGGCGATTCATGAACCTCACATTAACCTTTGGTCCTCACTTCAATGAATACACTTCCGCCACCGGAAGTTATTTGGTAGGAATCCTCTTGCGGAAGCTGTGAGTGTCATTTATTAGGTGGAAGTCTATGATATTTTTTCCGTTTTCAGTTCTATGAAGATGTGCAATCATGATGAATTCTCGTGCAGCAAATAGGCAGTCTACTGCAGACACCACCAGTAGTTAACATGACCAACTGACTGACTTAGAGTGCTGCATAGCCTGGACACACCTCTGGTGCACAGGCGCATATGCGTTGTGATCCGTGCACACGAGTGTGCATTTATGCATTGACAGCAAAGCAGATAGCAGTAAGATGTTCCGGGGGGGGGGGGNCCATGCAATTATGTACGCGAATGATCGGTAATTTTGAACTACTGGTTGTCTGCAGCACAGGCTGAGAATTCGACTTGGGCCGATTGTGAATCTGACTGGTGCACGAGAATTTCTGATGCACCTGTATGTAGGAAGCAAGTAAACAATCCACGAAGTCCCTCCCCCCCGTCATTCATTTGAGCGCTGCACATTTATCGACTTTTGTATCTTATATGTGTTCTTTCCAGCACCACTTGGATGATGGGACAGTGAAACTGTTGCAAATGTGTACCATGTTTTTTAAAGTACTTTCGCACCAAGCGTTCACATTTGTACAGTACCGGTTAGATGTATATTTTTTCTCTCTGTCATACATTCCGCTGACAGGATGGTCAAGCACTTCCAGACTCCGTCGAGGCAAAGATCAGAGATGAATTCTGGTTTACCGAACCGCCTAGCAGCACTCCGAAAGTGATTCGTAACTCTTTGATCATGGCATGGTGCGAAGGTGTGCCTGCATTCCGATTGGTCTCACGACCCCCACCAAGCGATTTTGCGAACGGTTCACCCAATACGGTAAGTGATATACTATGCGATCAAGGGGTTTTTCCACCGGTACACATTACTGACTAATCCACCGTGTCACATTTCGACCAAGCTGGGATGTAGTCCGTGCCCTGCCCGGTTTTCAATGTAACTGCGTCAGAGAGTCTTAGACCACAGAACACGTGACCGATAGGAACCAACCAATCGTTGCCAATGTGTTCCGCGATTCGCTACTCTTTTGCTCTGTACGATGTTATCAATAGGCCTTTAGGTGTGTGAATCCAGTTTATCGTCTGATATCCGAAGAAATCGGCATTTCGTCGCCCCGCCGTCCTGTGCATGGTTCCGCACAACACTTACCTGTATCGCAGACTGTTTGTTTCGATGACCGGAACACACGAACGGTGTTGTCTTCTAATTATAGTCTGAAGAATTGGTACGGTGGCTTTCAGATAAGGAGATGAAAAAGGATAGGACTGAAATGCGAAGTTTCCGACCCCTTTTCGGGTATGTACTGTGTCAAGCTGACCATGAATAAATTCTGTGGGCCCATGAGCCCTATGTATGATCTCGGAACTGGGCCGTGTGTGTGTGTAAAAAAGGGCCTGCATCGCCTCCTTTTCCGGCAACGATCACCTTGTTTACCAGCGTGTTTGTGTGTGTTCATCGTCTAGCAATTCAGTGCATCAATCAACACACTGAAAATCCACGGAAGCACTGTTTAGGTGATCGCTCATTCATTGTGATTTGACCCTGGGATCCGAACGGTTTTCATTTGAATGCTCCGAGCTGACCAACCCTTAGTAATTTCCTTTCACAGTTTACTGCTACTGTACAATCAACCATTGTCCGTCAACTGACAAATCACCCTCGTTTCGGTAACTACCTGTTCACACACAGAACCCCAGTTTTTGTTCGTTGAGATTGTAGGCGTTGTTTGTCGTATGCAAATCTATGACCAGACCGGAAGTTCTGTTGTGAGAATTACACGCACTGTGCAATCATGACACGGATCCAGTCCGTTGCAGGCTGTATACGACGGATTGTGGACGGGAGTGAATGCGGCCCCCCGGGGTGGGGGGGGGGNGTTTCTCAAATTCATAGTCGTTGTGACACCGATTGCGAGCGATTGGGTTGGATGCGTAGCATTTAGGGACGATGGGACAGATAGTTGAAGTGGTTAACTGGTCACTGGTGCATCTGCTGGTTCTTATCTATCGGAAGTATGAGGCGAAAATGATGCAGTTACCCGAGGGAACCAGGAATACAATAGATTCCAATGGAACACGTGTACACTAACAAATGGTTTATAGATGAAATATGGCGTTTCTTTTATTATTATTATTATTGCAATTTCCTATCTGCTCATATCTTGCGGGAAATCTGCCAGTACGTGCCATCACTGACACGGTAGTTTGCCCAAAATGAATGAGAAATTGGGCATCACTACCTGAGATAGAGCAGAGCAAATCCCGAACACGTATGAATTCACGTGGACTGTACAAGAAAATGCCTCCTTGGTGTCTGGTAATAACGCAGTGGTTTAGTCACTGTCACTGGTGTTTCTCGGACCATATGATTCCAGATTCGAACCCCGCCACCGGATCACCGGTAGCTGCGACTAATGAACTCATTTTTAATTCCTATTGAATATATCACTTTATAAGCAACTTTTAAGAAGGGGATGAGGTGCAGTCATTTAGGCACTGCCTGGGGACACATACAAGAGGTTAAGCGGCAGTGCTGGGATTCGAACTTTCAACCGTCGGATCAGTGTGATGACCGGAATCAGTTAATGTTAAATGCAGACTTAAAAAGGTAAGGAAAAAACACGTCAGTTGCCATCAATAGGGATGGGAGGAGAAAATAATGCCACAGTGTAACAGTGCGGTAGTGTTTCACTTTAGCCATCCCCAATACCACTTAGATAACAGATGCGAAGAGGTGAAATCTCTTTTGCATGTGTTTCATTGAATCAGATAACACAGTTATTAACGATGAATGGGATTGATCAATCAATAACTGAATAGATAAAGTAACAGGCTGAGGTCGGTGCCAAAAGAAAA